CACTTTACTCCACAACATGCCCTCTTTTGAGATAACTACTTTATTAAATAAATATTTTTTATTTCATATTACTATCTCCCCATCGTCTTTCTAGAAAGTTCACTAGCATACCTTACTTTGTAGCGTTTCCATCTCAGATCCACTTCTAGTTCTTCTGTACATTTTCTTTTCCTTTAACTTGTCCTTGTTGGTTCCATGATTTGTTTTGGTACTGGCACATCAAAAATATTGTACAGCATTTTAACCAGTTCTCCAGGTCTTTCCTCAGTTAATCTTTTCTTCAACTTTTAAGTTAGAATATTTGTTCTTTTCACCATCTAGACAAATTTTACAATTCTAGCTGCTATTAAGCTGTCTTCCCATGTTTCCTTTCCATCCTTGTACACTCTAAAGAATAATTTATCACCAACCTTAAAAGTATTGGTGTTGCTTTTATTCACTGTCCATGATTTTCAACCTGATTGGACACTGATTTTACCCTTCTGGCAAACATTAATTCTATCGGTGACATACTTGATGTGTTCAGATTAAGTGTTAACCAGTACACTCTCAAAAAATTTAGAAGTGCCTCCTTAATTTGTCCAGACTTGTTTTTTTCAATGCTCTTTTGAACATTCCCACAAACTGTTCCACTTGTCCATTAGACCTTGGGTGATAGGGTGGGGTCATAATATATTTTATAAAGAACAATTTGCAAAACACTTGAAATTCTTTTCCATTGAATTGTATTCCATGATCCGATATTATTGTATATGTTATGCCATATTTTGCAAACAGTCCATGCAAGAAATTCACTGTTACTGAGGATATAGGATTTTTGCACTTGTAAATTTCAGGTCGTTTTGTAGAACTATCAACTACCACTATGCAAAGAAGCTGTAAAATTTATATGTGATCTTGACCACAAAGTGTGTTTCTTTGGCCAAGGTTCCATTTTTGTGATAGGTAGTTTTGCTACTAGAGCACAACCTCTACATGCTTTTTTTTTTTTTCAATATCTTGGTCCATTCCAGTCCAATATACAAAAATTTTGTGAGATTTCATTCTTGAAATGCCACCAGGATGTCCAGGATGAAAATCCTTTAATGTATGTTTCTGTAACCCACTCGGTATTACAATTCTTTGTCTGTACATTACAACACCATCACATATTGAGTTGGTGTTCCATTCTTGAATTTGTACTTTTTTAGTTTCTTTTAATTGCTTATTTATTTTAGCAATAAAGATGTCCTTTTTCTTTAATTTCATCCAGTATAACTGGTAATTCCCATACTACATTGCACAAAATGTTTTTAATGTCTATCTCGTTTTTTAGCACTGGTTCCACATTTTTAGGCATTAACCTAGATAATCCATCTGCATGTCCTAAATTTTAGGCAGTTGGTACACCATTGTAAAATTATAATTTAACAGAATGGTACTGCAGCACTGTAACTTTGTTCGCTGTATTGATAGGTTATACCTTTTTTTGAACCATATATCACTAATAATAGTTTATGGCCTGTTTGCAACATGAAATTACTTCCATGAATAAATTTATGGAATTTTTTCATAGAGAATATGATCGCTAGTGCTTCTTTCTCAATCTGACTGTAATTTTTCTCTGCCAGTTGAAGCATGAGTGAAAGCTTTCATTTTACCACCATTGTATTTGTGTAAAATCACCACTCCAATATTGTAATCATTAGCATCTGACAGTATTATAATTTTTGCTTTTGAATTATAATGCACTAATGATAAGACTTTTTTTTTTTATCTCAAACATTAGGATCCCAATTCCACTTTACTCCTTTTTTCAGAAGATTGTTAAGTGGAGCTGTCAAATTATGTATATTAAATAAATTTGATAATAATTAGCAAGTCCTAAAAAGGCTTGTAATGTAATTACGTTTGTTAGTATTTCTAACTGCATTTGTCCCCACCAGATCTAATTTCCTACCATTTTTATCAATAATTTGACCCAGGTATTTTATTTTTGGTAAAAACAATTCAAATTTTCCTTCACAAAGTTTGAATCTGTATTCTCTTAGTTTTTGCATAATTGTTTTGAGATGCCCAAAATCTTCTTTCAACACACTCTTGATCAAAACATCATCCAGATACGCCACTGTAAAATTGCAGTCTGCCAGTATGGTATCTATGGCTTGTTGAAAAATAGTTGATGGCACTTTTATACTAAAAGGAAGTCGATTAAACTTATATAAAACTGTGAGTATTTATGATTATCAATTCAGAAAATTGATTTTCAATCTAAATTTGTAAATATGCTTCAGAAAATTCAGCTTTAAAAATATTTTGCCCACCATTCAACTTTGAAAAAAATTTCTTCTGGGCTTGGTAATTGTGTGTTTTCAGACAATTATTTAATCCAGTTAAGAAATCCATGTAAATAAAAATTTTGTCATCTTTTTTCTTTACGTACACCACTGGTGCAGACCATTTTGAATGGTTTACTTACTGCAATACACAAATTCTTTTTAGTCTGTCCAAGTCTTCATTTACTTGTTCTAATGCTACAAATGGTACACTCCAGTTCGGTTTAAATACTGGCATCAAACCTTATTTTACTTGAAAATTTACCCTGAATTTTGAACACCAACCTAGTTCATTAGAAAGAACATCAGGAAAACATTTTTTTTAATTCTTCCTTCAGTTTTTCACTTTCACTTTTTAAATTTAATCACTTGTCTACTTACATTTTTACAAACATTTATCGGCAAATCCCACCGTTCAAATAGTTCCATCCAGTCCGTACCACATAGATTCATCACATTTCTTAGAACATAAACTTTTGTTTTTATCTGCTTATTTAAAAAATAAACATCACATGTTAATTCTAAAAAAAAAAAAATAAATAAATAAAATTTCTCACCAAAAACTGAAATTGTAACTTTTAAGTTCTTTTTAATAAAGGTTTTTTTTTAATTTCTTTCCATGTTGTTTCATTTACTATTGAAATATCACTACCAGGATCTAATAACATTTTAGATCCTACATTGATTTATATGTTAACAAATTTTCTTTTGTTTCATGTGACTATTTTTTTCCATCACAATATTGTGTATTAATTTGTTCCTGCAAAAATTTTTTTCTTGATTTAATTCTGCGGTGTGATTTGATATGTCATTTTATAGCAGTCTGCATTTTTCCATAAACAGTCTTTCCCAAAACATAATTTTCCACATGAAACAAGGTTTTATATTTGTTTTTGTGCATTTTTCCTTAGCTTTTATGAATGCATGTTCTTTATTCTGAAGTTTTCAGACTTAGCATTGTTTGGCAATCATCCACTATTTCTTGTAGTATTACATTATTATTATTATTATTATGTTAAATGTTTGCTAAAATTTTCATTCATACTTTAGGATCTTTTCCCACTGTTAGACCTTGCATGAAAATTAATCCCTTGAACATATCCAGAGTCATTTCCTTTAGTTTAAATTGTTCACATTCTCTGTTGTCAATACCAACATACGTGAAAAAATCTTCATCCTCTTTTTTGGTTAAATTCATGTATCTCCAACAAGCATGGAACAAAGAGCACTTGTCACTAAAACTTTTTGTCAGGTGTACTATGTCTTCAAACTTTATTTCACCTGATCTTCTTGGTAAAATATAATTGCAGTACTTTTCATACTCTATTAGTGCTATTTTTCTTAACAACAACCTGGTATTTTATCTTTTTCCCAGCCACTGCATTCCTGACTAAATATTTCTTAATGTCTACAAAAATACACAGCAAAAGTCAGTCTGCTATCAGGATATATACAAATTCTGATACAGTGTTTTGCACCATGTCTGGTATAAACCATTTCCAACAACTCTTGTTGTTTTTGAAACTGTAGCAACTATTGAGTATTTTGTTGTTGCTGTTGAATTTCTACTATTGAAGCCAAAATTTTCTCCATATCTGTAAGAATTTTTTTTTTTCTTAAAAGCAACATGGTTGCAATTCTTGTAACATCTTTTATATCCATGTGAGTTTCAAAAATCTGTTCGGCCACTGTTATAACTCCAGTTATAATTTGGTGCTTGTTATACTGCATTTGGGTTCAAGGTCCTCATCATCAACTATTATAACTCCAGTTCTAACATTGGGATTTCTTATCCTATGCTTGTGTTTGAGTATCCTCATTGCCAACTATTATAACTCCCTATTGAAAGGTCATTATAACACACACACTCGTACTTGGTATAAAGTAATTCATTAAAGTATTCTCTATACATAATGCTTAGGCTATCACTGTAATGTCTATATAGTTAGTATGAAGATTGACTCGAATATAACTACTCACAAACTCATAGCATGGAACCCTTTATAGTATTGGATAAGTTCATAGAGTTACTAGGGAGTGGGGGTGCTCTCTACTCCACAAATTGGAACATTCAGATTTTTAATATAAAAAAACCTGGATGACCGAATTTCCTACAATATCATAATGACAAGGTAAAGTTGATAAATTACTCAGGCAATGTAATGTTACACTAAAACTTAAAAGGAGTATGATGATTTCTGCTATTTCAAAGGATATTAATAGATCAAATGCGTAATTTCTATATTAAAGCTTTCTAATGATCCTGGTTATATTAAGACATCTAAAGTATGTGACATCACTGTAAAATGAATTGCAGACAGAATCATATGATTCAAAGACTTCTTCTATGGTCGACTGTTTTGATACAGCAATGGTTATTGGTCAAGTAAAGAATTTGTCATGAAAGTTCCTTGACAGTATTTATAATTATAAAAATAAATAGACATAATGTCTATATTATTCAATGAAATATGTTTGAATGAAGATATGCTGCCTATAATATATATATATATATATATATATATATATATATTTTTCTGCCTGACCAAGGATTTCAAAAGAAAAAAGAAAAGAATCTTGTATTTAGTTTAGGGAAGTATGTTGTACTGAGAATTTTTCACCACCCCTTTGTTTGTATATTTATGTAAACCAAGTGTTTCTGAAAGATATTTATTTCTTTTGCAGATGAATTAGTCGACACTCAGATAATCTTGGAGGGAGCCACAGCAATGCTACGGCAACGTTACAAATTTCAGCATATAACAATCCAAGTGGAACGTTACATTCCTACCATGTCACAATGCCCAGTGTGCCTCATGCCTGCTTAAAACAAAAATGAGAAGAAAAAGTGTCTTTGAACTCTGAACTTTATGGCTAATTGACAACCCTTTATATGGAAAAAAAACAAACAAAAAAACATTCTGATAGTATTGATCAAGGCTAAGAAACATTTTTACATATCCCAAATCTATATTGAGGGTTGTTGGAATAACTGATTTTAGTCCCTTGTTTTGAGTGAAATCTTGATTATTTTTCACACACACACACATATATATATATATATATATATATATATATATAATATATATGTGTGTGTGTGTGTGTGTGTGAGAGAGAGATAACGATATATATTTTTTATATATCAAGAGCAATATTGTGGAAAAATGTATGACAAAGTGAAAAAAGTTTTCTTGCAACACATTTTGTCCTTTAGTCCAAAAAGACAAAATGTGTAACAAGAAAACTTTCATTTTTTTCCTATATATATATATATATATATATATATATATATAGCACATAGAATTTCTGGACATATTAATATATAAACATGCTCACACGCTGTAAATGGATATGTATTGATATTTGCACTAGATAAACCTGTTACACTTAGGTTTTATTTCACAAGTCAATGTTTTCACAATAAAATTGCAAGCAATTTTAAAGTCAAAAATATTTAATTAAAAATAAACATCTATAACTACACTATTATATTTATTTATTTGCAATATGATAAAAAAAAAACCTTCTCAGGTGACCAAATAAGTTATTGTAAATATTTCTAATAAAAACAAATGAAATTCATATGGTATATTTAACAAATATATGCTGATTATTGTACTAACATCTGTTGACTTAGTACCAATTTTAATGTGAAAACACTGAACTGAATAAAATCTAAGTTTGTTCATAGTGTGTTATAATCACCAATATACTTGCATACATTCCCAAGTATATGAACATAAGTACAACTAATTAATGTGTATAGTAATACATAAATATACACAAAATCCACAAAAAAAGTACATACACATGCTTTTTCTTTTCTGTACACTAATGTTGATATTAATTGCTTAATTAACCAAATTTACTTAAATCTTTAAAAAAATAAAAAATGAATGATTTAATGCTTATCTACTTCAAACAAGGAGCAAAGTTTTAAAACAAGTTAGTAAAATAATCCATATTTGATAAGGTAATCGCATAAATTGTTTCGTTTCATTTTTTAGAAAAGAAGAGGGATATAATCTTCTAGAATATAGGGATTTCAATACCTAGTCTTTTTAATGGGTTAAAATATTTATGCGTATATAAGAAGCATGAACAATGATGTCAGTACTGAGTGGCAAGGCTATGTGTATATATCAAATATAAAAGTGGACACTGAGATCCACAAGTGGTGACCCTCTCTGTCTATATTTTTGTACACTATTTACATTATTCGGACTATTGTCCTCATCTTTGTCGTCATATTTATTACAACGCTTTGGCCGTTGTACACTCCAGCCTTCTTCAGGTGGTTGGAATGTCAAACTGAACCCTTTATTTTGCTCACTGGGGTAGACTGTTCTAGTTCCACGTGCCATGTTTAATGGATGTCAGTTATCAGGACACATGGCACAGTGGATAATGGCATTGGTTGAATCCAGTAACAGAACCCAAAGAGTGTGAGTTCAATACCCAGTTAAGGCAGTGGAGAACTTGGAGAGGTGAATTAACAGAAGATAACTGACATCCATTAGACATGGAACTAGAACAGAGCGAATGAGCGAAATAAAGGGTTCAGTTCGACATTCCAACCACTTGAAGGCCAGAGCATACAACGGCCAAAACATTATAATAAATATGGCAACAAAAATGAGGACAATAGTCCAAATAATGTAAATAGTGGTGACAGTCTGTTTCATACTTGAATGCACTCTTCAAGACATGTCCTAAATTTTGTGTTCAAGAATGTAACAGACTCTTGCTTCTTGGTAGTGACCTCAGTGTCCATATTTATATTTTTCACACCTTCTCTCTTTCTCTGATATTGAGCACTTTTAACCATAAATATTGCACTACTTTAAAACTATATTTTTTTCATTCATATATATATATATATATATATATATATATATATATATAAAAGTGTGCAGCTTTTATATATAACAAGTAACTTATACAAAGAATTAGCAGTGTTAATGAGTGAAATCCCTATGCTAAGAAAACTTAATGAGACATTAACTTACTATCAATTCCCTATATTTGAGTTGTTGTATATTTATGAAAAATGTACACTGAAGATGACAATTTGAAATTGTTGAAAGTACTTTGTACATCAATTTCATCTGACAACAACTCAAATATAAGGATCGTATTATTCAAGGAATTGATAGTAAGTTAATGTCTCATTAAGTCTTCTTAGTGAAGTGATTTTGCCATTAATCTCATTAACATTGCTAATTAATTCTTTGTATAACTTACTTCTTTATGATTATGTGTGTGTATATATATATATATATATATATATATGAAATGACAAAAGACCTTTTTTATGCCAATGCATTTCATTCCTTGAGCAACTTTATCAAGGCAAGTATAGAAGTTTTATTTAGTAACTTGTATTTATACAAAAAAATATACTTCAACCTAAAAGCACCTAATAAAGCAGTTACCAAATAAAATTTCTACATTTGCTTTGATAAATTTCCTCAAGGAATGAAATACAAAGGTTTTCAGTTTTGTCATTTCTTTTATTAATATTGTTTTTACAGATGTATTTTATTTATATCTGAAATTTTACACAAAATCAGGAAGAATTAGGAAAATTTAATGTTTCACTGTTTTATTTAGTTTCATAAGAATTTTTTAAATGAAATAATGCAAAGTTATATTCCAATTTTTTAATTCTATGTTTGTTTTTTGTATATATGTTGTGTGTAATTTTAATTATCAAAAATTGTATTTATCTACATATATTAATTGTATGATAAATACAAAGAGTTCTTGAAGTGAATATATATATATATATATATATATATATATATATATATATATATATATATATATATATATATATATATATATATATGCATGTAGATAATTGTACAACTTGTATACCCAAATGCCTTGTTCTATAGCAGGTGCTAAGGAAAAATTCTCAACTCATTTGCTAGATTCACTATTCTCATGATCTTTTAAATACTGATTTCCAAAATTTGATTTAGCAAAGAACTTTTCAGCACCATTTTGTATATGTATGTATAATTCGTGTGTGTATATATATATGTTTATATTTTGCCTACTGTCATCTTGTGTGTGTATATATATATATATATAGAGAGCTTTCTGCTCAAAAAATAATAGTATATACTAGAAATATCCCTGAAAATTTCATGGTATTTCTATTTGAATTTTCTAATTAATCTTAATTATCAAGTAAAGGATTGAATAAACCTTTGTGAGTTCTACGACTATAAAATACCTGTGGAAATTCCTCTATTGCATTGTTAAATATATTTGAGCTTAACAACTTTAAGAAAATATTGCAATAACCATTATAAGTATGACTGTAGGTAATTATTTAAAGAAGTAAGAGGGTACAATGGAAAAGATTGGGAATTGACAAGTTTTTTTTTCCATTTCACGGGAGCAGATATTAGACATGAGAGCATTATTGCCTCCTATATTGTGTCTGTCTTTAAAATAGCATCTCTGATATGCCTTTTCTGTCTTTCCTCACGATCATAATGGAGTAGTCCATTATTTATGAGCACAATATATGTGCTAATTACAGAGCAAGCAGAATTATAATAGGATATACACACAACTTGGGTATAATTTATATATAAATATCACACATATGTAAAGACAAATTCTATGTTTACATTATATATTATATAAAAATAATATATTATTTTAATACCTATACTCAAGTGGTATGAAAAAAACCTGAATAATACAATCTGTAAATAGAAATATATTTGAACAAACTGATATCAGGGGGAAAAAAATTCAGTAAAAAATGTTGGTTGAAAATAATCAATCAGCACCATAATGCCTAGCCAAACAAAAAAACACCAACCGAGTAAATTAAGTAAAAACATAAAAGTGCTCAATAATACACTATGTAGAGCAAAATCTAGTGAGCCAGAATCTGCCTACCACAGTTCCACCTAGTGGATCTTCAGGGTACTACTGAAGTTCCATTAAGTGAAACCATGGTAGGTAGGTAGGTTCTGGTTCACTAGGTTTTATTTATATATATGCACACACACATTAATAACAATGTAATATATGTATACAAAGAATATACTGTGGTATATGTGTACTACTATACAATATTGATGTATTTTTATATGATATATTACAATCTATTTGTGTTCATATTGATTTATATGTCTATTAAATTCTTACACAGTTAAATTTTTTAATAACTTGTTGATGAAATAAATATCAGATAAAATGTAAAATAAAGTAGATTTACTCAAGATGTTGTTTATTTAGTTAGAAGTATTTCTGCTATACCCACCACCATCTTAGATACAAACATTAATGTTTTAGTTTTTTTTTGTTTGTGGATGCTTTTGTGTTATAAGGGAATATTTATGCATCATCCACTTTGGTGTTATGTGATACAGGGCTTATATATACAAAAAAAATGTCCAGATCTCTGGAGACATGTCTCCCACAAGCTGACACACACCTGAAATTAAATTCTAAGCTTGGCTTCATTTGTCATCCTAGCATGAAGTTTGGGTGGAATTGTACAACAGACGCTCTGACCAGAAATAATCATTTTTTTCATATCACTATTGATTAAGCACTCCATGTCAACAATATCTCGTTTTTTTTTTTTATTAAATCTTTTAAAGGTTGATAGTGGGCTCTATTTTGCCATGTAAAGTCATCCTTCTACAGAAGCCAAAAGAAATATGTTCATGCAATAAGATTTCTGAAAATTGTAAAACAATTTTTTTTTTTTTAAATTCATAATTTGGATTGTTTAATTGATAGTAGTATATAAAAAAAGTACAATAAATTTCAAAGTATTTTTTATTTTTTTTAC